CCTGCTGGCTCCCAGGGGTTCGTTCCCGTGTGGAGGGACAGCCCACGGGGCTTGCAGGACTCGACGTTGTGATGCAGCCAGCCCCACGCACCAGCTTGTCTGCGTCAGGGTGGGAAGGCCGTGGCTGTGACCGGGTGTCTCTCTCCCCTTTCCCAGGGATTCTGGGGATGTTGCAGCACTTCGAGGGTAAGTGCCATGTCTTTTGGTTTTGGTGTTGTGGTTTTTTTTCTCTTGCTTCTGCTTTTAATCCTGGCAAACGTCCTACCCCACGTTCGCTCTGAGAGGGCCCCGTCAGCCACACTCTTGTCTTGCCTCTTCCAAGGTCCCGGAAGTTTAACATCCTGGGGACGAACACCAAGGTCATGAACATGGAGGAGTCGAACAACGGCAGGCTCTCCGCAGAGGTCCAGCACCTGGTAGGTACCGCAAGCTCTCGGGCTGCTGCTGCTGAGGCCGCGTGCCGTCGCGGCGCTGCTCCAGCCTGTTCCTTCTCTCCGCAGACCCTGCGGGAGCAGCGGTGCGGTAACGGAGGCAGAGCCAACTGCGACGTGAGTGCTGGGGGGACCCCGGCTGCGAGAGCCCTGTGCTGGCAGCTCTGCTCCCTGTTGAGCACCTGAGCCAGGAGGGCAGGCGGAGCCGTGCCCCGAGATGGGGTGTCCGCAGGCAGCCTCTGGCACGTTGGCAGCTGCCGGACCAGCCCTCTGCACCCAGACCTAAGCAGCAGCGTTGTGCCCCATGGCCATGTGTCAGGCCAAGGGCAGGTGCCTCCTGCATGCTTATCGTTGTCCTCTTCCACTCCAGGCCTCACTGATAGTCACTGAGGAGCTGCATCTCATCACCTTCGAGACAGAGGTGTACCACCAGGGGCTGAAGATCGACCTGGAGGTGAGCTGTGGGTTACTGTCTCCAGCTGCCGTGGGCTGGGCTGCAGAGGGGGCTCAGCCTGTGGTCACGTCCTGTCTTTGCAGACCCACTCTCTGCCTGTGGTGGTCATCTCCAACATCTGCCAGATGCCCAATGCCTGGGCATCCATCCTGTGGTACAACATGCTGACCAACAACCCCAAGGTAGGGCCCAGTGCTGGGGGCTGCTGGTGGGGAGAGGGAAGCTGTGGCTGGGCAGCAAGGCTGGGGCAGACCCAGGCCCTGCTTCTGCCCCATGTCTTGCTTAGGGTTGTGTTCTCTCTTGTGCAGAACGTGAACTTCTTCACCAAGCCCCCCATCGGGACCTGGGACCAGGTGGCAGAGGTGCTGAGCTGGCAGTTCTCCTCCACCACGAAGCGTGGGCTCAGCATCGAGCAGCTGACAACGCTGGCAGAAAAGCTGCTAGGTAACCTGGTGTGGGGTCCTGCCCGTCCTGGCCGTCCCTCGGGCTGCTCCTGGGAAATGGTGTCTTTGGAAGAACAGCTCTATCCAAATGTTGATGCTCCTGTTCTTTTCTGCCAGGGCCAGGTGTGAATTACTCCGGCTGTCAGATCACCTGGGCCAAGTTCTGCAAGGTACAACGCCCTCCCTTCCCCGAGCACCTTCCCTTGGCTGTTCCCTTCCTCTGAGCCGTGCTCACAGCCTCTCTGCCCTCTCCCTCAGGAGAACATGGCTGGCAAAGGCTTCTCTTTCTGGGTCTGGCTGGACAACATCATTGACTTGGTGAAAAAGTACATCCTGGCACTGTGGAACGAAGGGTGAGCCTTGGCCAGCGTCGGTCTGGAGACCCGTGGTTGGGCTGGGCCCTGGGAGGGCTGCCACGAGTCCTGTCCTGATGGAGGTGGGGTGCCTTGTCCAGGTGCAGGTGGGCTCTCCCAGGATGCTTTTTCTGACCAGGCCCTGTTGGCTGGTTCAGAGTGAAAACCCACCTGTGAATCCCTAAAATGTCGGTGCCTCTGTCAGTGGCCGGGCCAGGTCCTGCTGCTGCCTGACACTGTGCAGAGAGCTGGCAGGGTTCACCTCCTGGAATAGCTGCCCCGGTATCCTGACCCACCCTTGCTCTCCGCACTTCCTGACGCCCAGGTACATCATGGGGTTCATCAGCAAGGAGCGGGAACGAGCCATCCTCAGCACCAAGCCGCCGGGAACCTTCCTGCTGCGCTTCAGCGAGAGCAGCAAGGAAGGCGGCATCACCTTCACGTGGGTGGAGAAGGACATCAGTGGTACGTTGCTCTCCCTGTGCCACGCCGGGCGCGGTGCCTTGCTCAGCCAGCCTTCCTGGCCCCAAGGGGCCTTGGACTGCGGCAGTGTCCCCTGGTGAGAGCTTTGTCCTCCTGACAAGGCCCTCTCACTACGTTAAGTCTTTGAGCCCCGGTGCCCTTTGTCGGTGCGTCCTGGGTGCTCCATCCGTGTGGCACAGTTTTCTGTGGCACTGAAGCCACCTGGTGGGTCCCCATCCTGCCTTGTGGTCTTCTGGGTGTCTCGTGAGGCTGAGCACAGCCCAAGGCCGGTGTTGCCAGTGCTGCTCCTGTGGTGTTTGAGGAAAGCCTTGCCTTTGTCCGAGGAACGCGGGTGTCTTGCCCCATCTCAGAAGTCTCCTTGTACAGGGAAGACCCAGATCCAGTCCGTGGAGCCTTACACCAAGCAGCAGCTGAACAACATGTCGTTCGCGGAGATCATCATGGGCTACAAAATCATGGATGCCACCAACATCCTGGTGTCCCCCCTGGTGTACTTGTACCCAGACATCCCCAAGGAGGAGGCGTTTGGGAAGTACTGCCGCTCCGAGAGCCAGGAGCACTCTGAAGCTACTGACTCAGGTAGTCGTTGACTTTCTGCGTTCCAGCGCAGCTCCTGTGTCATGGGGTGGCTCCAGGGACAAACGGCGCTGGTGGAAGAGCCGTCACCAGCTGGGATCCAGTCCTGGAGGGCATAGCCGCAGCGAGGGACTAGTGATGGGGTCCCCGTGGGGCGTGGGCAGCAAGGGGAGGGTGGGCACCGTCTGCAGGTCTGTGCTCCGGAGGGGACGGAGAGCATGGTTCCTCCTCCGGCAGCGGGTGACAAGGCTGCTCGCTCCTCCGCAGGTGCTGCTCCGTATCTGAAGACCAAGTTCATCTGTGTCACTCCGTAAGTGTTGCCGGGGGGTGTCTGTGAGTGGGGGGCGGGCACTGGAGCGGGGGTTTCTCTCCCACCGCTGCCTGGGTGCCATGGGGCTCCCAGCCTGAGCAGGAGACTGCGGGGGCTGAGCCGGGCTCTGGCTCGCTGCCCTCCCCGCCAGCCTGTCCTTCCCCTCCCGGGGCCCCTCTCCTCTGGAGAGCTCTCGGGACCAGCCGTGCGTGCCATTCCCTGGGGCCCGCCGGCGGGAGAGGGGGTGTCGGAGAGCTCTGGCCAGGCCCTGACTCCGGAGGTTTCTCTGCTTTTCCCTTCTTCTCTCGGACAGCACCTCCTTCAGCAACACCATCGACCTGCCCATGTCCCCGCGCACGCTGGACTCGCTCATGCAGTTTGGCAGCAGCAGCGAGGGAGCAGAGGCCACCGCAGGAGGGCAGTTGGGTGAGTCCGGTGGCTCGTGGCACCCGGGGGGTCCCGGCTGTGGCCACACAC